AGAAAAAATAGAAAGAGAAAAGAAGCAAATAGAAAATAGAAAAGCAAACAGAAGAAGTCAAGAAAAGCGCAAAAAAGAAAAAAAAAAAAGAGCCTCGTGAAAAGTTTAAACACATTTATTTAAAATACAATTTATAAAACGTTTATCTGCATACTTTTAGGCGCGCTCTTGGGGAGAGCCGGGGGGGGCCGCCGCGCGCTCCCGGGAGCCCCCCCACTCCCCCGGGGGAGAAACCCCGCGTGCCGCCTCTTCCATGGGCGCGAGAGAGCCGGGGCTTGGCGGGTGCTCCCGTTGGGAAGCGGGGCACACCCCGGCTCCCGGGAAGGCCGGCGTCCCCCCCTGCCCGCAGGGCGGGAGCGGCCGGGGACACGGTGCCCTCGCGGGGCCGCTCGCGCCGGAGCAGGGAGCGCAGGCACCTGGCTTACGGGGAGGCAGGAGGGGGCACCCGGCGCTGGAAAAAGCCCCCGGCTCCCGCGGCTCCGAGGGCAGCAGCGCGCCGGGAAGGAGGCGGCCGCCGCGCTTATTGCTCCGGCGCTCCGGCCCTTCCCGCCCCGAGCGCTTCCCGAGCGACCTGAGTAAACGCGAGGCCCGCGGCCCACCAGACATTCTGTCTCTTTGCACACACGTACTTTTATTTCACCAGTAATCTCCTTTTTTGTTTGTTTTAAAACTGCGTTTCCGTCCACGTCTCGGTGTCCCTCCGCCCGGCCGCTTCCCCGAGCCGGGAGGCGTCCAGGTGTCCGACCCTTCCGCCTCCCGCCCGGGAACCATCCTCCAACAACCGCCGCGGCTTTGGGGCCCGGAGCCACGAGGCCAAGGAACCGCCTAACGCTGCCCGCACGGTCCCGTCCGCGGCCAGAGACCCTGCAAGGGGCAGGGAGCCGAGCCCGGCGCGGGCGGCTCCGCAGCCTTCCCGAGCGTCCCGCTCCCGTAGCCTCCGGATGAGGCTCCGCTCCACGTGCTCTTCCCAATCCGCCAACAGCCTCCGCGCCCCAAGCGCCTCCACAGGCTCCGTCCGCATCCCCTTCTCCCCATACAGCAAGATGGGCCTTGCAGGGGCTGCTTCTTGCCCCGGAAAAAAAAACAAAAAAACAAAAAAAAAAAAAAAGAAAAAAAAAAAGAAAAAAAAAAGAAAAAACCACCAGCCAAGCTCAAACAGGCACAATTTGTAACCTAGGTCCTCAGACCGCACTGGCCTCCGAGGCTGAGGCCACGGGAAGGCCCGGGAAGCCGCTTCCATTCGCTGGCAGCGGGAGAAACACACAACAAGAAGCCAAGCTCGCCGATTCCTAGCCGTTAAGGTCGCAGAAATTCATGGAAACTCCCCCGTACAACACCCAACTACCTCACCTCTCCGTTAAAACAAGCGAAACGGTTAAAAACCCTTCCCGGGCGCTCCGCTGAAAGTCAATCCCGTACACAAACAGAAAACAGCAACAACAGAGCGGGAAAAGGAGGAGAAAAAAAAAAAATAGAAGAGATCCTTGGAAACAGAACTTGCTCTTAGAGTGATGAGGACAACATGCGCGTCCGGGGAGGCTCCCCACTTCTCTTCCTCGCCCCTCCAGTCCCGGGTCATGAGCACAACGGACATTATTGCTGGCGCTGGCTCTGACGGCAGCGGCGCCGCGCGGCTCCTCGAGGCCCCCCGGCCCCCCTCTCTGCGTGCCCAGGGCCTGGGGACGGCCCCGGTGACAGGCCGCTCACAGTGGGTGCAGCGGGGAGGTCACAGTGCGTGGGGTTTGAAGGTCACAGTGGGCAGAGCAAAGGGAGGAAAACAAAACCAAAACCAAAAAGAAAAAAAAAAATAGATATCACAGTGCAAGTAAACCAGGTAGTTCCCTTTGCTCAAGTCCGTTTGTGCGCGGCGCCGCGCGGCGCCCGGCCTCCCGCAGCATCGCCGCTCGCCGGCGCTTATCTGCGCTGCTTGAAGCCTTGCGAGCCGTCGGGCCCCAGCGGCTGCCTGATCACATTGTTGGGCTGCCTGGTGTCCTCGGGCTGCGAGATCCGCGGCGGCCTGCGGGGAGACAGGAGAGTGAGCGGCCAGCATCAGGCAGCTCTGCACGCTCCAGCTTTGGAAAGCTCATCGCAGCAGCCAAACCGCCCACGCTGCGCGGGGCTTCATTGAGGTCCTTTAACCGCCGCGCGTCGGAGCTTTAGGTGTCCCCTTGGGCACCAAAGCGCCCGCGGCTCCTCATCCTCGAGGAAGGGCACGCGGGTGTCCGCGAGCGCAGGGCGCGCGATGCCGCCCCGGCCTCCTCACCTGTCCAGGATGGGCTTCTCCTGCTCCTCCTCGGGGCTGGCGCTGCCCAGGATTCGTTTCCTGGCTTCGGCGTATTCCGCCTCCCTCTGCGCCAGGGACTTCACCGGGAAGGCCGGCCTGCTGGCCGAGTTGGGGTTGCTGAGCACACCGTTGGTCGTCGGCCTCTTCAGGATGCGGATCTGCGGCGGGGGCCCCGAGGGCAGGCTGTCGTCCTGGATCACGAGCGGCACTTTGGGAGGAGATTTGGATTTTCTGCTGTTTAAGAGGAAATAAGAAACGTTCCACCGGTTACTCGTCTCCTCCCGCAAGGGTGTTTTCGGCTCTGCGCGTGAACACGGCCCGGGCGGATGTCACTGCTGTGACTAAGAGGTAGCCTGTAGTAATTAAAGACCTGGTGATGTTCGTCATCCTCAAGCCAGGTTTGTAGCAGGTTACAGCAAGGGACAGCGAACCCGTCTCTGCCACATGGGGTACCTTTAAACTCGAGCGAAGGATCCGAGCAAACAGGCTCCCTTCTCCACAGGCAGACCGCGTGAGGCTCTGCTGCTGCTGCCTGCTTTAAGTTCAGATTAACTTCATCTTGCTGGCCCCTTGAGCCTTCTTTGGGGCCAGCAACTGCATACTTTGTGCTTTAAACGTCAAAGATTTTCAAAAAACCCTGAAATACTTACCCTCCAATGGCGCTGGTTTAAGCCTCTTGCTTTCACTCCCTGCATTTTTGTTTTAAGAACTCCTTTCACCAGGATTTCTAGCCATTGACTTCCTGCCATTTCAGCCCTTGGAGCCGGCCACGGCCCAAGGAACCAGCACCCCAATTCTGACAGTCCCTTCTCTGCAGGGAAATCCCAGAGAAACAACCCGGTGCCTCATCCTGCAGCGGTCTAATGAGAATCAGAGGGATGGGAAGGGGGTAAAAATAGACTCATTGGGAGCGGGTAGACATCAGGGTGCTGGAGTAGAAATCCTGTGCGTGAGGCATGGGAGCCAAGGCAGGGCTCCCAGCTGGATTTTCCTGACTCACCCATTCCTTCCTTTGAGTGGCTTTTCTGAAAGGGCCTCCCTGTAGCCAGAGCTACATCCAGGCTTGAAGCCCTGGCTCTGAAATAAAGCCGCGCTCAGGGGTCTTCCCGCAGCCCTGCTCCGGATGGAAAGGGCCACCTAGTGGCACGATTAGAGAGATTCCCTATTTCTCAGCTCCATCCCAGCGTTCCCCACTCCGGCGCACACTTCCCACTGGTCCGGCTCTCCCGGGGCCTTCAAGATGTCTGGCTGGACCAGGGAAACAAGCTGGGATTTTCAGGTGGCGCGGTGCCATTACCTTTCCTTCTGCGTGATCTTCAGCTTCTTTTCCAGCCGTCGGTCTATTTCCTACAGGGGAAAAGAAGGAAAAGTAATTTTAAAAAGGATCTTTTGGGAGAACAAATCTGTTGGCCAAACCCTTTCCCAAAAGGGTTTCCCAAAAGCAGCGTCCCGGGACAGAGGCAGCTCCTCGTATTCCCGCACTCACATCCAGCCTCCACGGAGAGGCTCCTGCCCACAGACTCCTGGCGATTAAGGGAGGCGGCATTTTTCTTATTATTTATTATTTTGTTGTTTTTAAACATAAACCTGTCCTCCGAGGCGGCGGTTATCTCGTCAGAAGCAAACCAGCCAAGGGCTCGATTTCTCATCGAGGCGAAAGCCGAGGCACAGCCAAACCCCCCGGCAAGGGCAGGGACACCTGCAGCTTCCCTCCCTCCTCCAGAGGACTCGGGAATTGGTGCCAGAGAGGTCAGAAGGATCCCGAGGGCCCGGGAGCCGCGGAGCTCCGGCACCGGCCGCCCCGCGGAGCCGCGGGGACGGAGGCTCGGCCCCGTTTCCCACCCGGCGGCTGCGCCCGGGCCGTGTTCCCACATCCCTCGGGCTTTGCGGGTCGAGCCCGGGATGCTTCCTTCGCGCCGCACGCAGCCCCACCAGAAGCTTCCCAGTGTCAGCAGCAGCACAAAGGGCACCCAAAACCCGCTCTGGGTTATGACATCCCTAATATTCCTCCAGCAGGTTTTCCTCCAGGAGCTGCCCAAGGCCCAGCTTCGCCGCCGCGCTCTTTCGCGGCGCACGTCGGGGACACCTAAGTGTCTCTCAGGACACCTAAGCGCAGCTCCCGGCTCTTCCAGCCCTTCACGCCGCTCCCAGACTGCGGGGGCACATCCCAAAACTCCAGCGTCCCTTGCAGGAGGGAGAAATTTCTGCCCCTTTTTGCCTCCCGAACTGGCTCCGGTGCGGAAAGCAAGAGGAAATGCCCCATGGTTGCCACAGGGCAGCGTGGTCTTAATCCTGAGCTTGAGACTAAACCCCAGGGAGAGCCGGTTGTGCCCAGAGCGGCGCCCTCGGCACGAAGCGAAGCCTCCTCTCACCGAGCACAGCGGCGACGCTGCGGGATTTTACTAATTGCGGGAGACACTTCCAGGCCTGGTTAACGTTCCTTTCCAAGGCTGTTACTGCCGGAGCAGGCTGCTGCCTCGCTGCTTCCCGAGGTGCTCAGGGAACGAGGCATCTCCCCCCAGGGAATGCCCACCGGCCGCCTGCTTCTGCCATTGCAAGATAAATCATCGGGCTGTTATTAAGCAGAGCATTCCCATTCCCGGGTCTGCGCCATTAATCAAGCGGCTTGGCACGTGGACACGCCCTGGAACAGACACGGGGCGATTCCTGGGAAGGAGCCTGGAAGAGCCTGGATCCCAGGCACCCTGTGGGATTCCCAGTGGGAAGATGTTGCGGGGCAGTTGCTCCAGCTCCTTCCCTTCCGCAGGAGCCCTCCTCCCGAATGGAATTCATTTCAAACCCAGAATCTATTTACCCACTTCCCACTCTCGGGAAACCCCCCATATCCCAGCGGTTAAAGGGTCTCCCGTGAGCATGCGCTGTGGTGCCGAGGGAGCAGCTTCCCGCGCTCCGTGATGCCAGACACGGCTCCCGGGAACGCTGCGAGGGGCTGCCCGGCTGCAGCATCCCAGAATCCCGGAGCAGGCCGGGCAGCGGGATGCTCATCCCCAGCCTAAGGGCCTCTTGGATCAAAGGAGCTGCCTCCGCCCGGGCAACGCGGAACAGCAGGCATGGAAGCTTTAGTTTCCCCATTTCAACGTTATGATCAATCCCTAAATAGAGCACTTAACAAATGTTTCAGGAAATAAATCATCTTCATGCATCCTGACCACGCAGCGCTGCCCTGGGAGCGGGCGGCACAGCCTGCGGAGCGGATCCCTGCATCCTCCCCGCGCGCATCCCGGCGGTCCCGGGGCTCCGTGCGGATCGCCCGTGACGCAGGGGACAAAGTCCGGCGGCGCGCGGGCCCCGTCCCCCCCACGGCCGGGAATTGGAGGATCCAGAGGGGGCGGCTGCTCCCGCGGCGGGTGGACTCTGCACGGCGCCAGGCGGAGCGCCGCCCGGGAGCATCTGCCCTGCAAAGCGCCCACCAAATAAAAACAGATCAAAAACGCCAGCAACCTCCTCGTTTTTAGCTGCCGGAGCAATCAGTGGACGTGCTACCTACACAAACGTACCCCCGACTGGAAACAAGCTGCTAATCAGCAAGTGCCAGGCTCCTGTTCCGGACAGCTGTGTTTTATTCACCAGAACGAGCAGTCGCTCCAAGCGAAGGGAGCCGATTCGGACTCGCCTGCTCCCTGCGATCCCCGTTTCCATCGCGGGCTGGCAGCAAAGCTTCCAGCGTGAGGCTTAATTATTATTTGCACGCAAATAATAATAAGTAAGTCGTCTCAGGTATAGCAAACACACCCCCTCAGCTGAGGGCTTCCCTAACGCCAGGCGGGCCACGCAGGAGAAAAATGCAGCTCTGCATTAAGTGGCGATTAACCAGCCGGGGTCTCTGGAGAGCCACGCTTGTCCCTGCGTCACCAGCCCCTTGTGACACCCCGGAAAACTCCCGTTCTCCACACATGGCTCCTCCACCTGCAGCTGGGGACAAACAAGACCTCCCCGTTTCCCAAAGCCCCCAGGTTATCTACGCAGCCGAGAGGTCTCCGTGAAGTAGGGCCTTTATAACAAATATTTACAGGCGTCTCTATTCTGCCCCTGGAGAGCCACAGCTCTTCGCTAGCACTCTCATCCCGGCGAAATTCCGGGAGGAGACGGAGCTGCCGGAGCCGAGGGCACCTGCTCCCCGACAGCCGCTGGCACTCGCCAAAGGAGAAGCTTCATTTTCTCCAGCAAACATGTGGGAATTCAGAGGACAGGGAAAACTACAAGACAAGGAGAAGCTGCATTAAAGAGAAAAAGAAACGTTTAAGCAGCCGTATTGCAGCTAAATTTTGTGTTATTTTAAACACACGGTAGAGTGTAAATAAATTACACGCCAGGAAGAGGCAGCATGTCAAGCTCAGCACTCAGGAACCCTGCGCAGAGCCGCTCCGCTCCATTCCCACCTCCTCCCCAGGGATTAAAGGCTGCCGTTGGAAGCGGTGTGGGGCCAAACTCCACTCGGGGGCCGCGTATCGGCCGTCCAAGGCACCCGGCTCACAACCACCTACCTGGGAAGCGGTACCTACAGGGGCCAAAGGGCCTGCAGGCCACCGGGTCACGTCCGCCGAGCGGGTCGGGCGTTAAAACACACTGAAATATTTTGGTCCTTATGCTCCTTGTTATAATTCGGTCATTTATGCTCCTTAACGCCTGCGTCCAGCGCGTCACCGACTCTTGCTATTCCACACGCTGCTCTCCAGGCAAAAACGAAGCTTCTCCTGCCGTTTTCCCGCTCTGGCACCTGCATCGCGCAGCTCTGCGCGGGCCCTTCCCACGCTCGCCTGCCTCCGGAGCAGGGTTTTCCCCATGGAAAAGCCAGCGAGCCCGAAACATCCCTTGTGCTGCGGGAAGCGCGGCCGGGCCTGCAGCGGCGCCTCCTCTGCTCGGTCACCGTGTCGCTTTTCCGGGGACCCCACGGGCCCGCCGGGGACCCCACGGGCCCGCCGGGGACCCCACGGGCCCGCCCGGGGCCGTGACACAGGCTGCAGCCGCGGGGCTCCTTGCCGAGGGCCGCAGGTACCGGTGACCTTCCCGACGGCTCCCGGTGCCGGATCCAGCCCCTCGCGGGACTCCCGGCGCTGCCGCCGCGCTAAGGGGCCCGGGGAGCGCGGGGGCGGCCGAGGACACGCGTGGGGAGCGGAGGGGAGGACAGGGCGCCGCGGGGAGCCCTCGCGCGGGACAGCAGCCCCCCCGCCCCAGACCGCGCGGGAGCCCCGGGACGCAGCGCGGGGCACGCGCGTGGGGGAAGCGGCCCCACGCGGGCGGAGGCCGCGGGCCCTTTAAGAGGCCTAGTCGGCGCTGCGGGCACCGCGCCGCATGCCCGCCGCCGCCGCGCGCGCTGTCCTGGCGCG